ATGTTTCCACAGAGATAGACATCTGTTATCTTACACACACACACACACACACACACACACACACACACACACACCCAATCAAGCCACCCACGGACTTAAAGCAACCTGCCAGCTGACTTCAGATGAATGCCAGAGTAGTTTGTGAACATTTGTTACACTGTCATTAACTCTTAGCTCTTCAGGTTCGCTCGTGAATGCAGCGATCGCATAACATGCCTCAATAGCTGCATGCCCTTGTGAAGATATTGCACTTGTCATTTGTCATTACAGTCAGAGTGGGTTTTATAGGAGTGCTAGGGTGTTTTCCTGTTGGTAGGGGGCAGTGGTAACATATGGAGGGCTGGTGAGTTGCTCGTGGCTGTCCAGGCTGTGAGAGATCTTCACTCCCGGTGTTTGGCTGTTTGTGTGAGAGAGGTTGTAGGCAGACACTGGCAAACTGTGTGGTGTCCCTGCCTGCTCTCCGTCTCCCGTGGGCTCTACTTTCCTTTAGAAAAGACCAAAGGATGCATGTGGGGAATGTCAACATTGTTATCCCTTTTGTTGCTGCAATGAGCCCAGTTCCCCCCCTTTTGAAATGCAAAATACGGAGCGTCTTTTAATTTCTGAGGCAGCCTCGCTTGTTATTTAAGAGCAAACCAGAGCAGCTCCAGCATGAGACGAGCGGCAGGGATTTTAATAGTGCAGGAGCTCCCAGCGGCCCTTGTGGACATTAAACCGAACCGCCCATTAGATGGCCGGCAACAAATGCTCCGAGAATGGAAGGATTACTGCTTAAAGGCACAGTGGCATCCCTCTCCGTCTCTCTCTCTGCTCCTTTCCCATTCACTGATGGCGACAGCTTGTACGCAAACACAGCATTCAATAGCTGAAACACACAGAGCTGTGTGTTAGCACCCTCTTTATGTTACATTGTAAGTTCTTGGCAGTGTGCAGTCGCGGAGATTAAAAGGAAAGTCTCCCATCCCTCGCCGTTTTACCCCTCAGAAGAAGGGAGCTGCAGCTAGATGGCTGTATGTAGTCACTTCACAAGCAGGCATTCGAGGAAAGCCAAGTATTCCGATGATGGGATTATGCAGATGTGCATGCACAATTTCAACAGAGGCCGTAATGTGTAGCGTGTATGTTGCAGACTGTATGGGGAGGGTGTGCTGTGAACATAGTGTTGGCTTAAAAAGCACAATCATTTCACTATTTAGTTAAAAAGATGAAAAGCTGACATCATGAGACTAAATTCACACACACTTCAGCTGTGAAACGTTTGTGCTCTACTACAGGTTGGCTTTGAGTGCCAGTATAGTAATCACCACTTTGAAGAATGTCAGGAATGCCTACAGTGTGCAAAAAAACCCCAACCCCAACATCAGCCAGTTTAAAGTGCAAAAGCAGCAATACAGTTAAATACCTTCAAATGCAAATAATGTCTTTCTGAACCAAATCCAAACTGTGTCAGTGTAATCTTTTATATTTGGTATTGTGATGCTCATCTCAGCACACTGTGCTTTGGTCTAATGGTTCTCAGACACACCCACGTCAGGGTCGGGGAAAGCCTGTAATCATGGAAAGTGGGTGTTTGTGTCTCTAGACTAACTATTAGTGAGACTGGAGAAGAAGACGACACCATGTGTCTGAGTGAGACCTTTTCTGTCTCACTCAGACATTATTTAAAGAGCCAACAGCCAACTAAAGCTCGGGGTACAGGGGGCCTGGGATGTGGTAGTTCCTGTATAACCAACTTTTTGCCCGCCTGGAGATTCACTTTCACGAGACGGACACTTCCAAACTTTTAATTGTCGGATAATGAGAGGGTAGCTTGCAGAACGCCAAGCTGCCTTTCTGCTTTCTGTCAACATCCATATATCATGTTACACTAACAGTGGAATAGTTGAACGCTCATTTACATATTAAGCACTTCTTAATTGTGCACCAACTGTTATAATGGGCAGAGAAGACAGTATACTGTATATAAATGTTTCACAGCAGACAGACGATTGTATTTATCTCCTTGAGGTAAAGCTGAACACAATGAAGTTATTTATTAACTCCTCTTTCAACCTCCAAGAAGAATGAATAAAGTTTTGATTTTGTCACTTACCATGGCTATCAGTACAACATATTCATGCTTAGTTAATATTAAACTGGACCTGTTACACATTTCCTTGTTAATACAGGATACTCGCTTTAAACATGGTCAAGATTTCAAATAAAACCAGAATCTCAGGTTTAATACTGCTCTGAACACTTTTTTCTGCTTTTGGCTTTTGCATGATGTCGCTGAAGGCAGAGATCCCTAATATGGTCATCTTTGGGATCAGATGACCATATGCCCCACCCACCTTCGGTTTAAATCTTTTGTTTATAAGGAGCCGCCAATCAGAAGCAAGCAAGCTATAGGCATTTTTTTCTTGTGTTTGATTTTTAGGCTAGGCTATACTAATGCTGAGGAAAAAAGATGGCCCAATAATTTATGATAAAAATAAATGTTTATTAGCAAACAGAAGCTAAATTTACTGAGTGTCTGAGGAGGCGTTTTCACCCCTTCTGTGAGCATGTACGATCAGCGCTTTCAGCCCGCAATCCATCATAGATAAAATCTGGACCGTCATAGCGTAAATACACATAAAGCTAAATTTGAGCTCTAACCGTGTCAAGTGGGATGCAAGTACAGCAGAAATACAGAGGCTAGTAGCAACATTGTTACTGTGGGTTACTAAGTAGGTGAGGCACAGTTCCATAAAATGTGCTGCTGTAGTTGTACGATCAACAAACAAGACCATTTTACAACAGAATGAGACCTGCTGCAAGGTCAGGTGCACACCTGTAAAGCTTTGGGACTGCATCCTGCACATGGTGACAAAATATGTCAAGAGAGATGGACAGATATGCAAATTGTGTTAGGTCAAAGGTCAAAGTTCAGCTCACACTTGCTGCACAATTAAGAATTTTGAATACGTTCTACAATTCTATAAGTGTTTTTTGGATTTTTTGACTAACTGCCCTACCTCCTACCCTACTACCACACACTCTCATGGCACTTCATGACATTGTCATCACCTCTAATCTACTTATTTGGGTTTTTGGAGCCAAATCTTCCAGCATTTTGTGTCACTGGACTCATCTTTATCAGTCTGCCTGGTCTTAAATGTGCAAATAGTCTCCGTATACAGATATAATATTTTCTACTTTTAAAAAAACGACCACATTTGAAGGTAAATCATTTCACTGCTCACTCCAAAGCCTGCGCTTAAAGTTATACTCGTGGCAGATTTTTGTACTTCATGTGTCTGAAGCGCTTATCCAATTCAGGGTCACAGGGCCAGGCTGAGCTCAACCCAGCTGTCGTAGGGTGAGAGACACGGTGCAACCTGGACAGGTCACGAGTCCATCACAGGGAGACACGAACCGTTCACCTTCACACCTACAGGTGATTTAGAATCAGCGGCTAACCACACCTGCATGTCTTTGGACTGCGGGAGGAGAAACTATACAAACTCCAAACAGAGAAACGCCAGGCAGCCGATCGAATTGTGCTGCGTTCCTTCGCCTCAGAAGTTGGATGATGACATCATACTCAAGTTGACCACATCTTAGTAGCAGAAATCATTTGTTTTTCTCCCTGCCAAATTAGCACCCTCACAAGCAATACCACTTACTGATTTCTGCTGTTTAGGGCGAGTCATCACTGTGTTGTTTTGACAACATATATGCTGCAGACACGAGATGTACTTCCTGTTGAAATACAGTTAAAAACATGAACATTTTTATCCATGAAACCAAACAAATATTCTGAGATTTAAAATCTTTGCACCTGGTTGGTGATTTTGTTTCCGTATCCCGTTCAGCATGAAATAAAACTTGTGTTTGTGCTATGATTGTTTTAAATGATCTGCCTTTAGGTCGTTGAGCAAGGGGTCGAAAGTTTGTCACCGTGTACGCCCATTTCTTTGCTTTATTTTAATGAGATGGGGGTGTTTTTGATTAGGGTTTGGGCAGCTCTGCTCCTCCTTTAAGATTAAATAGTGTCAGAAACGTTAACACCAACAGCTCAGTCACTGGATAACAGATGAAATTTTTGTCAATATTCTTCCACTGCTGAATATTAAAGTCCATGATGTCAGTATGATCCCCTATATTTATCCATTTGATGCGTTCGTCTTCCCAGAATGACATTTGACAGCCCACAGGGAGCAGGTGTGAAGCTGTTCATTACATCTGTTGGTGGGGAGAGAATTAGTGATGGCAGCTCGGGCCTTTGAGACCACAGTCAGGAGAGAAATTACTGTGTAGTCTTGCTTCTTTCCACCCTTCTATG